CTGGACTGGCGGGAGGAGCGCTCGCCGAAACTCCCGGTGTAGCCATCTTGTCGAGAAAGAGCGAGCGAAGAGCGGAAGGGAGTGAGATGGCCAATATTAGGAGCACGATAGGCTGAATATGCACCACGTGGACTAGATCTGTGTGCCTATTGGCTCCTGATGGTGCTTCTCACGGCTACAATTTCCTACTCTGAGCTTGTGCTCTTTGATTTTAGTCCGATGCGCACTCAGTGAGAAGCGGGCTAAATAGTTCTGAGAAAACTTGGGACCTCCCTGGGATGAGAGAAACAACTGCCACCAGATGGAGCCAGAGAGCAGTACAAGGGTCTCAATTTGCACTTCAAAGGGATAAACGATGTCACAGTGCCTTTTAAAGGGTTTTATTCTTATTACAGAACAGAAGCAGACTCATAGATACAGAAAACAATCTAATGGTTTCCAAAGAAGAAGTGGGGGGAGGGATAAATTAGGAATTTGGGATTAACAGATACACACTACTATATATAAAATAAACAAGGACCTACTGTACAGCACAGGGAATTATAGTCAATATCTTGTAGTAACCTATAATGGAAAATAATCTGAAAAGGAAAAATAAATTATATATAACTGAATCACTGCTGTACACCTGAAGCTAACATGACATTGTAAACCAACTATACTTAAATTAAAAATAAATAAAGGGCTTTGTTCTTGACAGTGTCATAAGGTGTCAGTGGGGTGAGTTATTAATTCAACAATCTGAACATGTGCCAGATGGTCTTTTAGGCGCTTGGCAAAAATCACTGGACAAAACAAAGATCACTGTCCTTGAAAAATTCACATTCTACTGGGGAGAGGCAAGTAAGTACATTATAGAATATATTAGAAGGTGGTAAGTGCTCTGAAAAAGGAAAAAGCAGCTGAGGGGGCAATCAGGAATTGTGAGGAGCTAGGATAGGTTGCAATGAGAATGTGAGATTTGAGTGGATTTGAAGGAGGCGAATGATGTGACAAATTGGGAGGGATGTGGGAGGGGAAGACCCTCCAGGTAGAAGGAACAGCTAATGTAAAGGCCTTAAGGCAGGAGCAGGTCTGGTGTGTTTGAGGCTATTTGGTGGCTGGAGTGTTAAGACCGAGATGGGGAGAAGCAGGAGGTGGACCTTTACACAGGGGTTGGGGAGCAGATCATTAAGGACTTCCCAGGCCCTAGCAAGGATTCTGAGTTCTAGTGTGAGTGAGATGGGGTTTTGAGCAGGGGAGGGTCATGCTTTGTCTTAGTTTTAAAAGGATCACTCTGGCTGCTTTCAGAAGAATAGAATGGGGGGTGTGTAATTACTGGGGAGAGGGAGGTGAGGGAGAAAGAGCAGGGAGACATGTGAGATGACCAGGTAATCTAAGTGAGAGATGAGGGTGGCTGGGAGCTGGCCAAGAGCAGAGGAAGTGATGAGATGTAGGCAGATTACAGATATATTCTGAGGGTAGAAACATTGTATACGAAATGTGAGAGGAGTCAAGGCTGACTCTGACACTTTGTGCTGAGCAATTAATAGAAAGAAGCTGTCATCAATTGAGACAATGAAAGTTACAAGGGGAGCAGTTTTTGAGGAAAAGATCCCAAGTTCATTTTTGGATGTGTCACCGTTGAGATGCCTGTTAGACATGCAAGCAGAAGTGTAGAGTGGTCCGGTGGAGACACGAGTCTGTACTTTGGGAGAGGATTAAATGACCTGCTGCTCTGTAAAGCTCTCAGCTCTGGTCTCCCTGTGTAACTGTGGGTAATCTCTAGGGTTTTTTTTTTTCTGAGCCTCAGTTTCCTTCTCGGTATGGTGGGGATAATATCTGCCTGTCAGAAAACCTGTCAGCTCTCTTAACTGGGTCAAGTCCCAGCATCCACCTGACAAGACGGATAGGTGAGGCTGGACTTCTTAGCCCTGACTCTCCTGCCCAAGAACGGCTTTCTCCTTGAATCTACCTTTTCTAATTAGAATTCACATGATCTGCCCCTGTCAGTACTCTGGGTGGACATATATTCTTTCTTTTCATTCCCCCAAACATAGATGAATAGCCTATCTGAGGAGGATTGGAAAGTGACTTGTCACTGTTTGCAGTAGCCAAGACATGGAAGCAACCTAAATGTTCATCAACAGATGACTGGATAAGGAAATTATGGTATATGTATTCAATATATACATATATATAAAGGGAAAGGCAGGTAGGGATAAATTAGTCATTTGGGATTAGCAGATACACACTGCTATATACAGAATAGATAAACAATAAGATCCTACTGTACAGCACAGGGAACTACATTCAGTATCTTGTAATAACCTATAATGAAAAAGAATACGAAAAAGAATATACATATGTATAACTGAATCACTATGCTGTACATCAGAAATTAATTCAACATTGTAAATCAACTATAGTTTAATTTTTTAAAAAAGTGAAAAGGAAAAGTGTAGGGATGGAATATCTTCCTTTGTGTCTGGCACCCAAGCTGGCAGAAGCAAGGAGCACGCCCAGCTCTGTTGGCCGTGGAGTAGCAGAACCATCCACAGTGACTCTGGTCACCTCCACCTACATGACAGCTAGGGCATTGCCCTTTAGTCTTTCCTTTTGGTTGCTCTCAAGGATATTTATAAATAAAAAGACAAATGGAATTTAAAAAGGAAAGTGACTCTTGAATTTGATGACTTGGATCTTTATCAACCCTGGTAGGGCAGTGCCAGTGGAACTGAGGGTGGGGTGGGCACAGAAACCAGAATTCAGCGGTGAGGGATGCTCAGTTTGAATTGGTGGTGCTGTGTGTTGGCCACTTCTCAAGGAAACTGCCTGGGAAGGAAAGAAGACATGTAAGGTAGTAGCTGGGGGTCAGCAGGATTGAGAGGGGGACAATTTAGGCTGGAAGAGTTCTAAGTATATTTCACACCAAGGATAAGGATCTAGTGGAGAGAGAAAGATTGAATATACAAGTGTGAGTAAGGGGAACTGTCTCATGAAACAAGGAAGGAAGGAGGATCTGAATGGAGAAGGCTTGATGAGAAGGATGTTCTTGCACAGGATGAGGGACATGATGGAGAGGCTGCCCTGGGCTGTGGCCTCCCTTATGGGTTCCTGGGGGGTGGGTCTGCTTTAGCCAGAGCTGGTCCCCTGAGATCATCCCATGGTACGAAGGCCAGAGGAGAGAAGCACCCCTGATGAAGATGTGTTGCTGCCTCCAAATGACCATGCAGACCCTTGGGACCTCTTCTCCACGTGTTGATTTGAGTTGACTGTGGACACTTTGGACACTTCACCATCAAGAACGTTGCCTTTATATCAATGACCTCAAGACCTTTCTGTCTGGAAGGAAAGGAGAAAGGGATGGATGAAGGAGCAGAGACATTTTAAATTGGGGACAGAGGGGACACTGCAGGAGCTCTGGTCAAATGTTTTTCTCAGGGAAGTGGAGGCAAGACGATCTGCTGAGAATGGCAAGGCAAGGGTCAGGTTCAGCCTTAGGGGAGTGGACAGTGTTTGGAAGAGGGGCTGAGAGTGATCCATCAAAGTCATTGACCAATTATGCGAGGACCCAGCTGAGCACACAGAGATCAAGGGTCTGGTCAGCTTTTGTTAATTTTCCTCCAGCCACATGGCTTAGGGGCAGGAGGAGAGGGCTCATTGGTTTGGTCTTCCCAGGGATCTGACTGGCCAAGACAAGGGACAAGGGAGTCTGGATGGTGGCTTTTCAATGGCTCACTGAGGGATCTAGGCAGGCTGAACTGTAAACAGAAATGCTGGGTCCAGGTTCATCAGGAAAGGGCTGAAGACATGAGGAGAGAGAAAATGGGCTTTCCCCTTAAATATGGGAAATGTGTTGTGTACATGGTATATGGTGTATCAGTCAAGGTTCTCCAGAGGAACCAGTAGGAAATATATATATTTATCAAAAGGAATTGGCTCAGGGGATTACAGGGACTGAGACGTCCCAAGATCTTCAGGCGACAAGCTGGAGACCAGGAGAGCTGATGTGTGCTTCTAGTTTGAAAACTGGGAGGCTCAAGACCCAAGAAGAGCTGATGTTTCAGTTTGAGTTTGAAGGCTGGAACAGACACAGCCAGAAAAATATTTGACCAAGTATCTGGGAACCCTGTGTCCCAGTGAAATTGGCACATAAAATTCACCATCACACCTGGGTTCCTGGCTGTCCTGAGGGATGTGTTTGACAGTCCTGCCCGACAAGACCAGGGTCACAGCTGCAGGCTCATGTTGGGGGGGGGGGCCTGTAGCTTCACACACCCATCCCACCACCCCCAGAGACGGCTGGAGAGAAGGGAGCCCTAGCTTCAGCGCCAATGGCAGGAGGACCACCAGGGGGCGCCCCAGGCTTTCTCAACTCTGCAGCAAGTGCCACTTGGGACTTAGGCTGCCCTCCACTGGCAAAGCTGCACAGGAACCATAACTTAGTGGCCAACTACCCTGTCCTACAGACAGGGCCTGGCACAATAGCGCTAGTGGGCGGCCTCCCACACTCTGTCTCTG